GGGACTTGTACTGTACTAAATTGAAAAATTACTGTATGAAAAATTAATTCAACTAAAGCGACCCCAGCTAGGGTCATAAATCCTAGCTCTTTCCTAATGACAGACTGTGGGCTGTAAGGGGCAGGGGGGGGGTTCCCTAAATATGGGACCCCCACCTGCCCCCCTACCTAATGGTGAATTTGATCATATGATATATCACATTAGTGATTTCTATGTGTATTGAAGTAAGGCCATAGAGGTATGGGGGGAATTGTGTGAAACCCAGATTGGGCTTTAGAAAAGTTTCGGGATCCTAGTGAGAGCAGTAGCACTCCAGGTTGCTGTACCACCACATTTTGACCATGTGGTGGTACAGTTGACTAAGGCACTTCTGGGAACATCCCGTGTGTAGGTTCAAATCCTTATTACGGCCCTTGTAGATTTGTTCATTATACTGATTAGTTAGTTTAGGAATATTAATATGATTTCATTACAGGATTCAAATCACAATTTTTATTCTTGTAAATAGAAATGATATATATTTAAACCATATGTCCTTTTTATTTATTTATATACTAGTACAGGAAGGTGCATTGGGTTTGTGAGTATATAACATTGATGTTTTTAACATTACTAACACACAGCGTTTCGGACAGGTCCTTAACATGCTAGGGGTATAATATCCTTTCTTCCCCACAGGCACATGTAATTTAAAAAAAAAATTATTTTTTCTTCCTAACCTGTTAATTTGTGTTCACTGATCACGGGAAAAATAATAAAAAAACTCGTAAGTAGCATATATTGTCCGCTATAGGGCGGGGAAGTCTGGCAAAAAATAGGCGCTGACTCAGCGTGCGTCCCAAGCCCTGTTGATCGCCAGCTGTCAGACCGGAGTTGCCACAAAGAGATAATTACCTAATTATTTCTCTGATTTTTCATAGTTTTTTTTGCTGTAATATTATTCAATAGTGTGTAGTTTGATATATTTATATAATAAAATGAGTGAATCATTGCTGTACTCAAAAATATGGTGTGCATATTGTTGATTCAATTACATTCATCAATCAGTGAACAAATACTTTGTCGGTTATTACACTATATCAGGGGTCTCCAAACTATGGCCCGCGGGCCACATCCGGCCCGCTACATAATTTCATCCGGCCCTCCAAACAAATCCTTGTGCGGCCTTGAAAAAATAATTATCGTACGAATGGCATCGCAGAATTATTCAAAGCTGGGGCTGCTGACTGGTGGCGCTCAACCCGAGTCAGTTTTCCTCTCTCTCGATAGTGTGACGCACAGATACTAATACTGGTAGGTATGTGTTGTGCATTATAACCAATCAGTTGTGTATAACTGTATATTGTGGGGATGGAGGGCGAGTGGGGCTTCGCTGTTTCCGTTTCAGGGAGCACAAACACTGTACAATATTCTTTTCTCTGTACTTTGACAATGCCTTTATCTTAGTTATACAAAATAGCAATAATACTATTGTAGCCAAAAATATTGCATGTTTAAAATAGTTAAAATGGTAACCATTAAGTTTATCAACGAAAGCTGTTGCCATAATATTTACCACTTTATAATATGCTATGCTTTTTAACACCACATACAAGCTGTTTTTTCCTGTAGAATTTATTTCATTTATTTTACCCTTATGTTTTCAGATATGGAAAAGATAAAGAAAAGAAAAGTGGACAGTGAGTGCCGTCGGTTCAATGAAGAATGGAAGTACTTTTTTGTGATAGCAAATGATAAAGCTTTATGCATAATATGTAGAGACAGTGTTGCTGTTCTGAAGGAATACAATATTCGTCGGCACTATGAATCTAAACATGGCTCTAGTTATTCTCACATCACAGGAGCAGAACGCACTAAAAAGTTTGAATCATTTCAGCACAGTCTGCATTCTCAACAAGCTGTTTTCAGTAAGAAAAAATCTGAAAATGAAAATTCAACTAGAGCCAGTTACAAAGTTGCCTATGTGTTGGCTAAAAAAGGAAAACCTTTCACTGATGGTAGTATCATAAAAAAGGTGTATAGTGGAAGCAGCAGGAGAGGTATGTCCAGAAAAAGTAAACCTCTTCAAAATGATAAGTCTTGGGTCAAATACTGTTGCTCGTAGAATTGAAGATTTAGAAGGCGACATAATTCGGCAAATAAAGGAAAAAACAAAAAGATTTTGTTGGTATTCTCTTGGATGAATCAACTGATGTGTGTGATACTTCTCAGCTCTTAGTATTCATTCGTGGTGTTGATAGTGAATTTAATGTGAGCCAAGAATTAGCATCAGTTCACAGCATGCACACCACAACAACTGGGGAGGACATTTTCAATGAAGTAAATAAAACTATGACAGAATATAACCTGGAATGGAAACAAGTGCAGTGTGTGACAATTGATGGAGGAAAGAATATTCTTTGTCCCATAATAATATGGGACAAAGAAGGGTTTGGTTAGGCAAATTACAACAGCTTGTGAGGTTGGAGGATTCTCAAAACCCATTTTTCTGCATTGCCTTATCCATCAACAAGCATTGTGCCTAAAATATGTTGATATGTCTTGTGTCATGAAACCTGTTGTTTCTGTGGTTAATTTCATTAGATCTCATGCACTCAACCATCGCCAGTTCCGTGATTTCTTGAAAGAAATTGATGCGGAGTTTGTTAACTTGCCTTATTATACAGCAGTTAGATGGCTTAGTTGTGGAAAGGTTTTGCTGCATTTCTTTGAGCTCAGATTAGAAATTGATTTATTTCTCAGAGAAAAATAAACCTCAGCCATTATTATCAGAATGTGAATGGATTTGGAAATTGGCATTTTTTGCAGACAGGTCATATGAATAACTTGAATCTGAAATTGCAAGGCAAAACAAATTTGATCAGTGACTACTTTGTTCATGTCAAGGCATTCAGAGCAAAACTTGCGCTACTTGAAGGCCAGGTGAAGGTTAAGAATTTTGCTCATTTTCCATGTTGTGAAAAATTTCATGCAGAAAGTAAAGTTGAATTTCCTTTTTCATTTACAAATGAAATAATTTCAGATTTGAAAAAACAGTTTCAGAAGCGATTTGCTGACCTTGATGCCAAAGCAAATGAAATCAGGCTCTTTCATAATCCATTTGACTGCAATGCTGAAAATCTTCCAACTCAATTTCAAATGGAAATTATTGATCTCCAGGCAGATGACAGACTGAAAGGTAAGTATAGAGAAGGAAATCTGATTGAGTTATATAAATGCCTGCAGCCAGATCAGTTTCCAAATTTGATAAAGTTTGCTTGTAGTTTTGTGTCCATTTTTGGTTCAACATACTTGTGTGAACAAACTTTTTCCAAAATGAAGTATGTGAAATCTAACTATCGAGCAAATTTGTCTGATGATCACTTGAAATCAATTCGTCACACTAATTTGGTTGCATAAAACTAAAGGCAGGAATCTATTTAGTTTACCCTGATTTTTTCCTAAAAGATATGTTTTAATTTTTCCATGTTTATACTTTAATATTTGAGGAAATTAAATTACTGGCACTGATTTGTTTTTTTTCATTTTGTATTCCTCCGGCACGCATAAAAATTTGGGAAATATATAATGTGGCCCTTACATTGAAAAGTTTGGAGACCCCTGCACTATATACACAGGTTATATATAAGTATCTGCATGTTTTGTTCACCATAACGAACCACTAAGTAGCTATTATGAGTCAAAAAATATCGAGGAGTGACCGCCGTGTACCAGCCAGCCACTCACGCCCTCCCTCAAGTCATCTGACTCACCCACATTCTCCTCCCACAATACTCTTTTTGCTTTTATTCACTATATATAGACGTTATTTATAAGTACCTACATTCGTGTTCACCATAACGAACCACTAAATTGGCATGCAGTGACAGGCAGTGGCAGCCTGCCACTCCCTCACCTCACCTGCCACCATTCTCCACCCACCATACTGTTTTTGCTTTTATATACAAGTATTTACATGTTTTGTTCACCATAACTGTAACTAAGCTTGTATGGTGAGTTAAGGCACAAAGACGTAGGATCTCACACAGTCAGCTGATGGCTGCCGCCTCAAAGCCAGACGCACTAATATTTCTCCTCCAACAATACTGTTTGTGGTGTTATTATGCTATATACACACATTATGTACCACTATGTACATTATATATAAATATCTAACCTGTTTTATTCACCTTACACCAGTAAATTCACCAGTAAACAACACCGTCGTCTGCACGGTGGCGTCGTGCAGACGACGCCACCAAAATGGCGGCTCCCAACCTTCTCCTCTTGCTGTTTACACCCTCTATACACACGTTATATATAAGTATCTACATTTGTGTTGTGAACCACTAAGCTGGTATGCTGAGTGCAGTGAGGCCACACAGTCAGAAGACATCGCCTCCACCCTCCCTCCATGGCGCACAGCGCTAAATATCACCACAATCCTGCTATTATCCTGCTCCCTGGTCAGTTTTATCAGTCAGGGGTCTTCTGTAATAATATCATCGCTACATAATAGCATGAACAAGTATATTATGGCATTTTTAGGCGTCACAAGCTGAACAGTTAGCTCATGCTGCATGCATCAGGGTTGGTTGCTCACTCCCCTAACACCCGAGAGTTTGGCCCACGATTTTTTTTTAAATCGTCTGTTTACAAGAGTTTACTGATGAAGGTGTGTGGAACCCCCATGTATCCACGGGCCGTATAAATCTTGCGTAGTACTCCAACACATCATATCACATGATGCGCAGGTGACTGGAACAACTTCCAACACGTCATATGACGTGACGCACACTTTAAGGGTTAATCTAACAAATAATTATAATATGATACCAAATATGATAATATGAACCAAATTTGAATAATAATAGGTACACTGTAGGAAAATTTTAAGAATATTAATAGGTAAATTGTAGTAAAATGGGCAAATTGCAGTAAATTTGAAAGTTTATTAACAGGCACAGTGTATTCTAATTTTGAGATGGCACTCTCACTATCCATACAATATTTTAAAATTCTCACACACCGAGCACAGTTGTATGCAGCTGAATGTGTTTGTTCATATTTCCAAGCTGAGTGTATCTATTCCCACAGTGTGGGCACATGTAAGGTTTGTCACCATGAACCACCATGTGGTTCTTCAGATAGTCCAGTCTGCTGAATAGTTTGCCACACACAGAACACGGGTAAGGTCTCGTACCATTATGTCCCATCATGTGTTCCTTCAAGTTGCCAAGTCGGCTGAATCTTTTCCCACAGTGATGGCACAGGTAGTTTTTAGCACCAGTGTGGGCCATCAGGTGCTGCTGCAAAATATCATTTCGAATGAACCTTTTCCCACACTGTGGACACACATAAAGTTTATCGCCAATATGGACGAGCATGTGCTTGTTTAACCCACTGCGGTCGCTGAATGTTTTTCCACACCGGTCACATGACGGCCTATCTACCACCATTTGCTTCTTCAGTAGTGTAGATCTTTCCCCAGACTCTGGACATGCTTCTAACTTCTCACCAGTATGCCCCAGCCTGCCTTGTTCCACAGTCTTAAGTAGTATAAATTCTTGGCCAGACTTGGGAAATACTTCTGACTTCTCACCATGATACCGATCACATAACGTAGGCTTCACACCACTACGTACCGCCCTTCGTAGTGTGGATCCTTCCCCATACTTGGGACTCTCTTCTGACGTCTCAACACTATGTACCGCCCTCCGTTTCCTCAGTAGTGTGGATCCTTCCCCATACTTGGGACACTCTTCTGACTTCTCACCAGTATCTTTCACAGGCTTCAGTAGTGTAAATTCTTGCCCAGACTCCTTGGGACACACTGCTGACGTCTCACCAATGTACCCCAGCATACTGGCGCCTTGTTCCTCAGTCTCCTCATGCTGAGGATGAGTCGTGACGGACACATTACTCTCTTTTGAAAAATTATTAAGTCGAGTGAATACGTCGACAAACTTGTAATCTTTATAAGAGGTACTCATAATTGTGTTCACAACATTGACTAAATATTTATCTATAATGTGGAGTGAGCTGTCGAAGTAGTAACGTGTTCGAAGAGTAACTAGAAAATGCAACTTTCTCCCAGAAGTAAATTATAAGGCAGAATAGTCTTCAAGACAACAAGAATGGTGCAGACTGTTAAATGAATGGTTTCCTTGATGTTCTGGTATATATGGCCCGCTTGTGTCGGGGCCCAAGTACCCTCACCTCACCTAAATATAGAGAGGTGAGGTGGTAGTGCTTGATCCCAACACAGGCAACACATGGACGGATGAGCTGTTTGATTACTTAACACAAGATATTAATACTAAAGAAACCTGGTCACCATTTGGTCCGGGAGACATCTCCCGTCACGCAGGGTGCAGTTGCGCCTCCACAGATCTCCAGTATCATCTTTTGATACTGGTAATGACTCAAAAGGGCCACCACTTACGGGCTATTCATGCCCGTGCCACCTCTTGGGTGGCTTAATCTTCATCAATCGTTAGCAGCGTTCACGCAGGGTGCAGTCGCACCTCCACAGATCTCCAGTATCATCTATTGATACTGGAAATGGCTCAAAAGGGCCACCACTTATGGGCTATTCATGCCCAAGCCACCTTTTGGGTGGCTTAATCTTCTCTCTCTCTCGTGTTTGTCCACCATCTGGTCACCATTTGGTCCGGGAGACATCTCCTGTCACGCTGGGTGCAGTCGCACCTCCACAGATCTCCAGTATCATCTATTGATACTGGTGATGGCTCAAAAGGGCCACCACTTACGGGCTATTCATGCCCGTGCCACCTTTTGGGTTGCTTCATCTTCATCTTAACACATTCATAATGGAGACATCTCCCGTCATGCAGGGTGCATTCGCACCTCCACAGATCTCCAGTATCAGCTCTTGATACTGGTAATGGCTTAAAAGAGCCACCACTTACGGGCTATTCATGCCCGTGCCACCTTTTGGGTGGCTTAATCTTCATCAATCAATCTACTAAAGAAACTACAGAAGGCCTCTTGGCCTTTAGAACATAATAACATAGATAACTGCAGAAGGCCTATTGGCCCATAGGAGGCAGCTCCTATTTATAACCACTCAATCCCACTTATATACATGTCCAACTCACATTTAAAACAATCGAGGGACCCCACCTCCACCACGTTACGCGGTAATTGGTTCCACAAATCAACAACCCTGTTACCGAACCAGTATTTACGCACGTGTTTCCTAAATCTAAACTTACCCAATTTATACCCATTGTTTCGTGTTCTGTCTTGTGTTGGTACTTTTAATACCCTATTAATATCCTCTTTGTTATGTCCATTCATACACTTATGAACATCGATCATGTCACCCCTAACTCTTCGCCTTTCTAGTGAATGCAATTTAAGCTTTATTAATCTTTCTTCATATGGAAGATTTCTAATTTGGGGAATTAACTTAGTCATCCTACACTTTACACATATAAGTGAATTTATATCCATTCTATAGTACGGCGACCAAAACTGAACTAATTAACAAAGATTAACAAAGCTTAAATATTAAGCTTTAATATTAACATAAGAACAAAGGCAACTGCAGAAGGCCTATTGGCCCATACGAGGCAGCTCCTATTTATAACCACCCAATCCCACTCATATACATGTCCAACCCATGCTTGAAACAATCGAGGGACCCCACCTCCACAATGTTACGCGGCATTTGGTTCCACAAATCAACAACCCTGTTACTGAACCAGTATTTACCCAAGTCTGTCCTAAATCTAAACTTATCCAATTTATACCCATTGTTTCGTGTTCTGTCTTGTGTTGATATTTTTAATACCCTATTAATATCCTCTTTGTTATGCCCATTCATCCACTTGTAAACCTCTATCATGTCACCCCTAACTCTTCGCCTTTCCAGTGAATGCAACTTAAGCTTTGTTAATCTTTCTTCATATGAAAGATTTCTAATTTGGGGAATTAACTTAGTCATCCTACGTTGGACACGTTCAAGTGAATTTATATCCATTCTATAATACGGCGACCAAAACTGAACTGCATAATCTAAATTTGGCCTAACCAGAGCAAGATATAGCTTAAGAACCACACCAGGTGTCTTGTTACTAACGCTTCGATTAATAAATCCCAGTGTCCTATTCGCCTTATTACGAACATTCATGCATTGATCCTTTTGTTTTAAATTCTTACTAATCATAACTCCCAGATCCATTTCACAATCCGACTTCGCAATCTCAACACAATCTCAGTCAGACAGTCAGGTGCTGTCACAGTGAGAGGTTGTGTTAGCTGGAGCTCTGGAGTAACATTATTATTGCAATAATGGAAGGATTAGTTAATGATTTGGTGAGTTTGGTTGGAGCTCTGAGAGCAGAGATGGATTCCCTGCGGGAGGAGGTACGACGGCTGAGACTTCGAGAGGAAACGAAGGAGGAGACCAGTGTTGACGAGACCTCATCGTGGAGAGTAGTGAAAGACAGGGGTCTTAAGAAGACCTTGACAAGGCCGCCTACAGACGCCCTAAGGACGGCAAATTCATTTGCCGTGTTGGAGGACGAGTGCTGTAGTGCGCCTGCAGCGAGGAAATCAGTGAGGAACGGCGGAGCGCAGGCTGCTCAGAAAGTTAGGGCGGTACCAAAGCGAATTTTGGTTGTGGGAGATTCCCAGGTGAGGTATTTAGACGGAACGTTTTGTGCCAGAGATAGGGGGAACAGATTAAGGGTTTGCTATCCGGGAGCTGCAATTGGTGATATTGTTGAAAACATGAATGATATTATGACGGGAAATGGGAACAAACCCATTATTTGTATTAGTGCAGGGGGTAATGATGTTGGGCGAGTTAGGAGTGAGGAACTAATACAGAGATTTAGGACAGCCATTGAACTAGTTAGGAGCAAGGGAGGAATCCCGATCATATGTGGCATTCTTCCAAGAAAGGGAGTGGGAAATGAATGGATGTCGAGGGCACTTGGTGTAAATTGCCGGCTGGAAAGATATTGCAAATCAAATGCAATATTTTTCATAGACAACTGGGAACACTTCTATGGAAGAAATGAAATGTATGCTCATGATGGGGTGCATCTATCGAGGGCTGGGGTTGTTGCTGTTGCGAACTCGTTGGAAGAAGTGGTTAGAGGTGTTTGTTTGGGTTTAAACTGTTAGTAGACAGTGGTATGGGAATTGATTTCGAGGAAGGAGGTAATAAAAGTATGTGTTCGTGGGAGAAAAGAATTGGCAAAATGATCAGGGAAAGAAAAGGGCCTCAAAATAACAATTCACTTAGGATATATTACACTAACAGTAGAAGTTTAAGAAACAAAATTAATGAATTAAATGCTCTTGTCTGCACAGAAAAAATAGATTTTATTGCACTTACCGAATCGTGGATGAACGTAGAAAATAGAGAACTATTAGCTGAATATCAGATAAATGGATTTAAACTATTTCACACAGATAGATGTATTAGACGAGGAGGGGGAGTAGCCATATATGTTAGGGACAATTTGAAATGTAGTCTCAAAGAGGGAATCAAAACTGAGCCACACACAGAAACTATTTGGATAGAATTAAACGAAAAAGCAAATAATACTATAATAGGAGTTATATATAGGCCACCAAATTTAGACAGAATGGAAGCAAAGCATCTATGGAATGAAATATCTAGAGCATCTAGATCTAACAGTATTTATGTCATGGGTGACTTTAATTTTAGTGGAATAAACTGGGTGAACAAAACGGAATAGTAAGAACAAAGGCAACTGCAGAAGGCCTATTGGCCCATACGAGGCAGCTCCTATTTATAACCACCCAATCCCACTCATATACATGTCCAACCCATGCTTGAAACAATCGAGGGACCCCACCTCCACAATGTTACGCGGCAATTGGTTCCACAAATCAACAACCCTGTTACTGAACCAGTATTTACCCAAGTCTTTCCTAAATCTAAACTTATCCAATTTATATCCATTGTTTCGTGTTCTGTCCTGTGTTGATACTCTTAATACCCTATTAATATCCCCCCGGTTATGTCCATTCATCCACTTGTAAACCTCTATCATGTCACCCCTAACTCTTCGCCTTTCCAGTGAATGCAACTTAAGCTTTGTTAATCTTTCTTCATATGAAAGATTTCTAATTTGGGGAATTAACTTAGTCATCCTACGCTGGACACGTTCAAGTGAATTTATATCCATTCTATAATATGGCGACCAAAACTGAACTGCATAATCTAAATGGGGCCTAACTAGAGCAAGATATAGCTTGAGAACCACACCAGGTGTCTTGTTACTAACGCTGCGATTAATAAATCCAAGTGTCCGATTTGCCTTATTACGAACATTTATGCATTGATCCTTTTGTTTTAAATTCTTACTAATCATAACTCCCAGATCCCTTTCGCAATCCGACTTCGCAATCACAACACCATCTAGCTCGTATCTTGTAACTCTATCATCATTACCTAACCTCAGAACTTTACATTTATCAGCATTAAACTGCATCTGCCAATCCTTTGACCATTTCAAAACCCTATCTAGATCAACTTGAAGTGATAGTGAGTCCTCCTCCGAATTAATTTCCCTACCGATTTTCGTATCATCGGCAAATTTGCAAATGTTGCTACTCAAACCTGAATCTAAATCATTTATATATATTATAAACAACAGAGGTCCCAGGACAGAGCCTTGAGGCACTCCACTTACAACATTTTCCCACTCTGACTTGATTCCATTTATACTAACTCTCTGTTTCCTTTGGTATAGCCATGCCCTAATCCAGCTTAATATAGCACCCCCAATACCATGAGACTCTATTTTTTTAATCAGTCTTTCATGTGGCACTGTATCAAAAGCTTTGCTAAAGTCAAGGTATACAACATCGCAATCCTTACCACTATCAACTGCCTCAACAATGCTAGAATAAAAAGATAACAAATTTGTTAAACATGAACGGCCATTTATAAAACCATGTTGCGACTCAATTATTAATTTATGTT